GAATGTTTAAAAGGCTGGTGCTAGGGAATCATGTTGTGGTAGTTGCTTTTTGAAAAATATAATGTCATCAAGTTTTCTTTTAAATCAGCAAGGGTGTCGGCGGAGACCTACTCGCTAGCGAGTTCCTGGGTCGTACCAGTCGTTCGCTGAAGGAAAACCTTCTGCCGCCTAATCGGGTGCATTCATTTGTGATGTTTTAAGGATGGCCACACCGATCAGTAATGTTGGCTAACTTGAAGAAATCCTCCAATCTCAGGTAGCAAACGTAGCCCCGGATAATCCGAAATATCTAGAGTAAGCTAGACTGAAGGTGCCTGTAGGACAAGGGAAATGGGTCAAGCTTTATCAATATCTTCTGATATGGTAGGTTTCTCAGAGCATCGAACGGCTTTGTCGCCCTCCGTTGCATTTGTTCGAGAAGGTCCACATCTTTCTTCAACCACGGTGTCCAAACTGGCATCCTGTAGCCATGAAGTGGTCTCAAAAAGGCGCCAAATGCATTTCGGAGAATTCAGAAACCTTTTGAACGCTCGTCTGATTTAGTGTGGCGTTCTAGTTGCCCTCTGGACTATCTTTTTACAGCGCTCTGTTGGCATCCATTTCGCGGTTGTCCACATGCCTAGATCATTGTGTGTATCAACCTCTTCTAATGCGGTGCCATTTATAAAATAACTACGTTTCTGCGACACGTTTCGACCGGTGTTAATGTGTGGGACCAGACATTTGTATACGTTTAACTTAAGAAGCCACGTAAACGACCAGATCACTAGTTTATACAGTTTCAGTTGTAACTCCTTTGCGTCGTCAGCGCAGCTAACTTCAGCGCAATTTTTATGCCATCCGCCAACATGACCGCTGCATTATCTAGTTCATTGAGACAGTCATTTACGTAGATTAGGACGAGTATTGGGCCCAAAACAGTAACTTGTGGTATGCCACTTTCTACTTTTGCCCATTCTGAAGGTTGCGTTTGCAACAGTAACCCTCTGTTCTCTGAAGTACAAATAACGATTGATCTATCTAAACATCTTCCCTGAATTCCTACGTCCCAAACATCCTGTACAAGAAAACGGTGCATTACACTTTTCAGGGCCCTCTTGAAGTCGAATATTAGGTAGCCGTTATCTGTGGCCTTGGTCCACTTCTCATGCGAGCAAAGAGCACTCATGAGGCAAGAGCGTCCTGGATGAAAGCCGTGCTAGCCATCGCATAATATTTCGCTTCTTTCCAGGAATCCTATTAAATTCAGCATATATAAGGGAAAGAGGCAGAGCCTTTGAAAACCCTAATGCGTTCCATTATTTTACACGCGATGCAAGTTATAATGACAGGGCGATAATTTGCGCAGTCAGTTCGTGAACCTGCCTCATAGATCGGGGAAAAATGCCAATTTCCATTCTTCCGGGAGTTCGCCTTCTTTAAAATACTTTTCGAAGATGACAGAGAGATGCAAAACCTTACGGAAAATATTCAGGCTTTTATCCCACGTAAGATTTTTAAATCAAATTCAGCTTCTTCTACTGTGCCAAATTTTCTCCAA